GAATTTTATTTGAAATAGATTTGCCACTTCACTATAAGGCTACCCATATGGTATTCGGGTTTTGTTGGCTTATTTATTGAGATGAATCCTTGGGCCTCACGGATGAGGCAAAAGGCAAAAGTTCGACAGCTGAACTGCACTCCAGGCATATGAATAATAGCACTGGCTTGGGATCCCACTGACATTAATTACTAGTCAGAAACTGTTCGTGGAAGAGCCTGAGCTTGAATTCAATGCTAGATAAGAACCATATACTACAAGGTAAGCCTTAAAATTGAGTAGAATATCATTAATTTCATAATACTGATTCACTTTTCTATGCAAATTCTACATATATCTCATTATTGTACATCAAAACCACGAAAGCTAAAACTTAAAACTGTTGTAACTATGTTATCTTAATTATAGTAATAATATTAAAACTAAATTAAGAAATAAGTATTGGCAAATAGAAGTACATTATTCCAGAGAGGGCTTTTTTCCCCCTAAAGGAACACTTAGATTGGGGTATGGTGCTGTCAGCAGGTCAACCTGTACCTGTAAGGCAAGTGCAACAGCGGCCTGATGCTGCCTTCAGACTTCTAGACACCCCAAAATTGATGCTGTGCCTTTGGCCAAACCCCAACAACTTTGGGCTAAGTTTATCAAGAAAATAAATTGCCAAAAGTTAGGTATATGGGAGACACACCCACAAACTACCTCAGGCTCAGCTATATAATTGGAGGCAAGGTCTCTCTGGTTCCTGATCAAACTTCTTAATGGTCTTTATCTCAGAGACTCAGAAACAAATCTTGGGACCTAGCAGCTTTTGGCAGATATGCGTCTGGTTCACACAGTAGGTTATTAGCACCAGACCACCCTAGGGGGGAAAGGGTGCTGTCCCTCAGCCTGCTCCCTCTTGGCAGCTCGGTGGCTGCCATCCTCCAGAGAACATTTGACAGTCAGGTTTGGGCCCATAGTGACGAGACACGCGGAGCCTCATGGGATAGGGGTTTAGCTAGCCCTTTCCTCCCTGCCCCAACAAGACCCCAAGTTGCATTCCACGAATGACCTCTCTGGGTCCTGATCAAGCTGCTTAACAGCCATGATCTCAGAGACTCAGGAACAAATCTCGGAACCCAGTGGTTTTTGGCAGAAATGTGTCTGGTCCCCGCAGTAGGCTACCGGCCCCAGGTCAACCCAGGTGGGAATAGGTTTTATGCCTTGACCTGTTCCCCCTGGCTTCTCAGTGGCTGCCATCCTCCAGAGGCCATTGACAGTCAGGATTGAGCCCACAGTGACGAGACACGTGAGGCCTCATGGGATGGGGATGGAACTGGCCCTTTCCTCCCTGCCCCAATGAGACCCTAGGTCATCGCCCATGAATGGCCTCTCTGGCTCTTGATCAAGCTGCTTAATGGCCATGATCCCAGAAACTCAGAAACAAATCTTAGAACCCAGCAGGTTTTGGCAGAAATCCCTCCAGATTTAATTGTTAAAATTTCAGAATTCCAAAATAGCGCAGACACTACTGTGGTCATGCAACATCATATGTTATTCACAACCAGCAACAGAAAACAAACTGTCTATGGTTGCTTTTTAGGCAGATCTGAGGGTTGGGGTAAAATCCCAAATGATAGTGGTGGGTCTATTAGTGTAGAAATATTGAATGCAATCAAAGTAGAGAGAGAGTAATGTGGGAATCATCTGCCTCACAGGTAGGGGACGGGTGTGGTATGGAGGGTATACTGGGGGTTTTGCTGGTGGAAAATGGGCACTGGTGAAAGGGTGGATATTTCGTCATCGTATGACTGATACTTAAACCTAAAAGCTTTGTAACTGCTCTTACAGTGCTTCAATAAATAAATGTATAAAATAGAAAAAAAAGTAAGGTGGAGTTTATGCCCAATTCAATCAGCCTAATCAGTGGCTGAATAAACAGCAATACTCCTACATACAAAGAAAAAAGAAACACTTAGAACAGATGATAGTAGGACTATACTTCAGTGGACAACACTGTAGTTGTTTTAGTATCTTAATTGATACTATGATCTGTTCTACCTATTAATTTCAAAATTTACTTACCTTCAATTATTAGTAATTTTTATTATGACATAAAATAAGTCTTCATTCCTGGCAGATATGAGTATATGGTATTTATAAGCTTTTTAAGTAATATTGCTGTCCTTGTCATTTACATTTTTGGATAGGATCACCAAGTGCATGAAATATTTTATGTATATAATGTTCCACAACTAAACAGAAAAAAACAAGTAACCATCCTCCTAATAATTTTAACAACTACTCTATCCAGTGCAATTATTTCTCTTGACTTCTTTTGACTAGACATAAAGATCCCTGGGCTCACTTCATTCATTCACTGAACTATCCCAAGAGGCACTTTTACTGAGAAACTGAGTCAAGCACCATCTTCAGAAGAGCATGAACTGCTTTCTGGAAGGGGTCAGTGAAAGGCACAAATAATTATTTGTCACACGAGTATTCATGATCGTATCCCAGTCCATTGTTATTTTGCATATTTCCTTTTAAAACTTAGTTTAAGAGCCATAGAGTACATTTGCCTGGCCTCTGGCCATGTTGACTATAACTCTGGTTCAAATCCATGGTACTATGTATGCTCTGTGAACATTGCCAAGGTTTGCTGCTGAGTACAGATCCAGACCAAAACAGTCCCTGAGCAACCCAGATGTGGCCCAATCCTCCTTCAGCACAAGAAAATAACTTAATCTGAACTTAAAGCTAGAACATTAGGCAGAAAATGACTTAAAAGAGAAGAGGAACTCCAATTCTCTCTCATTTACATATGCATACATGGTCTTAGTGTTTAGTAACACAGTCTCTCATTTTCATGAAGCATAATTAGACAATGGAAAAGGTCAAGATATGGGGTAAAATGATTCATGTAAGCTCAGGTTACTTTGTATGGGGACCTATAGTTTGCAACTACTATTCCTTCCGCTACTAATTCCATCAGAAGTTAGTCACAGAGAGAGACTTATGCTTTCCTTTACTGGAAAGCAACAGATAAAGAGTTGTAACACTGAAGGCATCTGGAGGTCAGTGTTGCTCTTCTATTTTAGGGGTCTGGTTACTTCTCAGAAGATGCCTAGCAGTACCAAGGCCCCTCTGTGATTCTAGGGCAGTTGCTTAAGGCAAGGACTGGAGGATGCAGTAGATATTGGTACCTTAAACCTTGCACATATATCTGGCCCCAAATTCCTGTTCTTACTCACCAATCACAAGAAAGTTAAACTAGACAGACCTGCTGCAACAAGGTTTTTAAAGTAAATTAGCATGAACTATGAATTTGGGGATATGTAAAAATTACTTAAAAACACTTTAAAATCTTAAAGTGCTTTAATTTTTCTCTTGCTAAAAAATTTAATAGAGAACATGGCATAGCTATTTTCCAACACATATACAGTTATAACTTTCTTAATCATAATATAAATGAAGTAATATGCACATATACTCTAAGTATTTCTTCTATGTGTATTTTTGTTAATTAAATGAGAAATCAATACATTCAGAAACTCATTAATATTTTTTTCACCAAGTTTCAGTTAAATTTTGAATGGATTTATAAAGCACTGACTCTCTTACTTTTATTGCCCAATATAATGTCCTTTTTATGGATTTCTAACTAAACAGAGACTCATGGTAGGACTTACGTTGTTCATAGAACATTGGGTAAAATATACTAAGTAATTAACCTGCTTCCTGATTGACTTAAATCTTTGTCATAAAGTCATTCTGTTGCAAAATTCATATTGATTTTACATAGAACTTTCTTTTTTTTTTCTTTCAGGGTTACATTCGGCGATGCACCGGGTTACTGCACTCAGGAATTACTTGATTCATGCACTGAGGAATTACTTCCGGCAGAGCTCAGGGGACCATATGGGAGGCTGGGAATCAAACCCAGTTTGACTGCGTGCAAGGCAAACGCCCTATCCTCTGTGTTACCACTCCAGCCCCCAGGAAATAGAAAATCTTAAGGAACCCAGAAACTAACATTGAAATTATAGTTTTATAGAAGTGAAAGATAAACTGAATTTATCTTTGAAATAATTTTTATGATTCCAGCAAATTTAAGTTAGCATTTGCACAAACATATGTATTTTCTATATAATTATTTCATTGTATATTAATTCTAGTAATTAGCTGAGGTTTAATAGCAGTAGTATTTTCCTGACTTTTCAGTTGAGGAATTTATGTTGCACAGAAATCGGTGATTTGTATTACATAGCACATTAACTTTATCTCTGTTATAAGGATGCAGTACAAGGAAACCAGGTTCTTCAAGTTTTATGTAACTCTGTTACTCAAGAATATCAGAATTTTTGTCATTTATCATGCTTGAGTTTTGTCTCTTTTCTCAAGGTTTTTAGAAACTCTAAAATTATCTGAATAGTTGTAGATTTTGTGAAGATCATCTTATATTAGGACTGGAGAGCTTAGCTTAGTGGAATAGAGAGCATATATTGCACGTGGGAGGTCTAAGATTGATTCCCACCAATGCACGCTCCAATAAACACTTTTAAGACTTACTTAAAAGCAGAACACCTGGAGTATCCCTCAGCACTGCTGGGTGTGGCACTAAAATAAATAAAAATAAATTAAAGCTTATTTTATTATTATTTATACTGTCCTTGGTTCTTATTCATTTTCATATTGCTGGTTGCCAACCATCTGCAGACTTGTTGTTACTGTTTTTGTCATATTGAATACGCCTCGGGGAGCTTGCCAGGCTCTGCCGTGTGGGCAGGATACTCTTGGAAGATTGCTGAGGTCTCCAAGAGGGACAGAGGAATCAAACCTGTGTTGAACGCATGCAAGGAAAACACAGTGGTATAGCTTTATACCTACAGAAATGTACCTATTCACATATATTTATATGTATACCTTTGTACTATATATATACTATACTATATATGTGTGTATATGTGTATGTGTGTATATATATGGATATATATGGATATATATATATATATATATATATATATTAATGGCAGGAGAGATACCATAATCATGAAGCTGGTTTTCCCAGGGTCAGTCTTGTCCATTTTATCCATTGCACTCTGGATGTGCTGATCCCTGTGATTTCCTCAAACTCAACTGAACAATTTGTGGTAGTAGGGAACTGCATTTGAGTTCTCCCTTGACCTATAAAAAAATTGAAAAAAAGAAGTATATATATATATATATATATCCTCGGATCTTAGAAATAGCACAATAAAGTACTTACCTTGCATGTGGCTGACCCATATGTCAAAAAAAAGTTAAATATTTTTTATTTAATACATATATGATTCAAAAATAAGGTATTTAAATATATAATTAATGTGGAAGAATGTCACACGTCTCTTGTTGTAATACACCATTTAATTTTAATTTAATGTTAGTTCGTAAAAAAGGGAGATGGGTTGTGCAGCAAAACAATTTCTAAGAATATTTTAAAATGCTTAGTATATTATTTCACTTTGGGCCACTATGATTTCTAAAAAAAATGTTTCTACAGAACGTTTATTTACTTGTTTAGTCTAATATATGACGCTCATGTGGTTGTTGAGGTTCAAGAGAGAATAACATTGACATTATGCCACATAGAAAAATGTCTTTTTTTGCATATTAGATTATGATTATGATTTTCAATAATCAAGACATTTTAAGAATTAAAGAATTCTTAAGACACTTAAGAATAATTAAGACATTTTAAGAATTGCAAAGAGTCACTTATAAGACACGATTATTTACTTTCTTTTATTTTTTTCAGGAAGAGCTAGAAGAAATAAAGACACGTAAATACATAACTTCAAAGAGACACAAATATCCATAGAGTAATGAAGCTGACTTGCTAATTTCCAATCATATACCATAATCATACATTTTCAAACATTTAACTATTGCACAAGTTAAAGAAGCCTATTTACGCTTTTTAAAAAATTACTTTGTGTGCTGAAGGTTTTATTAATGATATGACACTTCAGTTTCTAACCAGTGAAATTTTTCTGTGTACTAGTTGAAAGGCCTTTGAACTGACAATCTTTTATGCACTCAGATTCTCTATACTGAAACCAGTGGTAATACCCATGCTTAACTACATGGAGAACAAAGAACAGATTAGAACAAGATTTCCTTTGTATAATAATTGAAAAGTAGATGGAAAAACCACTATTGACAAGAGATTTAGGGCATGTTGTTTGCTTTCATCTATTGTAAAGCAAATCTATTAAGGGGTGCTATGATATATTTATGCAAACAGAATGGTTTTTAAATTATATACAGGATATTTTACTTGGTGATAATACATTAGAATTCTATGTATTATCTTATTTGTAGCTGAAGGAGAGTAGTGATGATAGGTATTTCATAAAGTACAAATAGTAAGCAGTGGTATTTATTTACAAACTTTGAATTTCTATGTGAGGTTTTGTCTTTATTTTCACTTTTGAAGACAAGATATCACATTTTTGTTTTTGAATAATTTTTTGATACACATTGCACTATAATTTAAAATGTCATAAACAGAAACCAATTTTGGAGTAATTGAAATAGATCTCCTATGCCACAGTTTATACTCTTCAAGCTATTTATTTAGAATATATTTGCATTTGCAAGAACTGTCAATATATGTTTAATCAGCTTTGTCACACTATACTCCTGAGTCTCAAAACAATGGACCACCACTGTACCTTGCAGGTTGTTGTATATGTTTTGAAACTTATTGAAGCTTAATCTAACATATGAGCGGAATTCAACTCTCAAGCATTATCAGAACTAGAAAAAAATTCTTTCTGAAGAGTGACCATCTGTCAAAGTAAACTGTACTAAAGCGCTGTGTGGTACCCATATGATAGGATCTCATTTAGTGAAATTGAACTGATATCATTGCATGCACTTCACATTAAGAAGGGTTTCAATTTGACCATGGAGAGATGTACAAAAAGAAAAGCTCACTCTACTTGCAGATACATTGTTTCTATCATCCTCATTATCACACCATGATGCTAAATGAAAAATAAAAAGTAGAAGGATACAGGGATCATGGAAATGAGTTTTCATGCATGTCAGCACTTTTGTTTAATTTTCATATGGATCCCTTGGAAATATTTTATACATAACAAGTTGGAAATAACCACTAATAGTCAAATTTACTATAATATGCACCAAGATTTAAGAGATTTTTTCAAGCAAATACAATCATACTGAGTTTCCTCATTTTTAATAGTACAGCATATAGGCTGATTTTTACCCCTTTTGTTCAATTTTCAGAATCTACCAAATAAATCCCTTAAATGAATTCTATGCCCTCTATATGCCAAATCTATTTTTATCTCTTTAAATTTTTATCATTAATATCCTGCAGAGAAAGTACTTAACATCTCAATTCTTTCATTTGTAAGCAAAAATTGGAAACTGTTTTATTTCACTTTTATTCAAATACAGAAATAATTAATAAGTTTCTTTCTAAAATCAATGCTATAAATATGTAGTTATTAAAATTGCTTAATGATTATGCTAACCAGAAGTTAAAACATATTATTTGATACAGATAAAACTGTCTTATACATAGTTTTGAATGCATGAGTTATTTATTAAATGTAGTGACGGTGCAGTCTCCTGCCCCCGCGCCTGACTGTCCTCGCTCGCCGGGACCCCTTGGAGGGGAGCGGGTTGAGCTTTCCTCCCCGCCCCGACCAGGGCTCCGGCAGCCAAAGACCTCCAGGACCAGCCACCACCATGCTGAGACCACTCTCCGCACACATGAAGGTACTGGCAGAGGGACAAAGTCACGCGGGTTCCAGGGCCGAGATCTCCAAGCCTACTCGGATTTGGGCCGAGCATCCTCCACCCAGATCCTCCAAATTCCAGTAGGCGGGGGTGACACCGCGGCTTTCGTGGCCGCGCGACATCTTATTATGACGTCTTATTATCTCATTCCTACTTTGGACAAACTGGCAGGTTACCAAATGTAGCCTGCCCACACGGCAGAGTCTAGCAAACTCCCCGTGGCGTACCCAATATGCCAAATACCAGTAACAATGATGGATCTCATTCTCCTAAAGAGCCTTGAATATAATCTCAGGGCTAGGATGAAGGAGACGTTACTGGGGCCTGCTTGAGGCAATCGACGAATAACAGGATGATTCGTGATTTGTGATTTGTGTCTTATACATAGTTTTGAATGCATGAGTTATTTATTAAATGTAGTGACATCAATGATTTGCCTTATGCACTGTGTCTTATTTAGAATTCATTATTTGTGTTATTGCCAAGGTTTTATTCCAAATGAATAATTATTTCAACATTGTGTTTTGACACTTGTAAATAAAACGCCCACTTTTTTGGTGCTTCTGGTTGGATCACCAATATTTCCTTCAATTTTATCTTTAAAAATCTTTACTAAGACATCCAGCTTATTCAAAATGTTAATTTTTTATCATTTTTGATGCTTATCCTGAAAAAGATGAATCCACTCATTTTTCTATACAGAAAGTTTTTATTAAGTTCCATCTATGGTTGAAATTGACTTGCACCACTCTTCAAAATATAGTACTTCCCCAAGGTAAAATTACAAAAGTCCTTGATATGCCTCTTATTCACCCATACACATGATGTCTGATACCTTGTCTGTTAAAATGTAAATGGCCAACAGTTAATTGTTGAATTAGCAAATTAATGAATACATGAAAGTTAGCACATCAAATGCCAAGCTAGGTGAAGTTTACATTTATGTTTTAATTTCCTGATCTGAAAATATCTGAGCAGTGAAAGTTGACCAGATCAGCTTCACTTGCCTTTGCCTCTGGTACAGAAGTAGTGAATACTCTCACTTACACCTCTCACTCTGTGAACAACTCTGCCTAGCAAGCCTACAGGTTGAGGCAGCACTGGCAAAGATGCTTAGGATATTTTGTGCCCATCAAAGCGTAATCTACACATGTAATTCCAACTGAAGAACCCTGAAAGATCAGGGAAGTTAAATCCTAGGAATTGCACTTTGACTAATGTAATAGCTTGGGCAAAAAAGTACATTTTTCCTCTTCTCCATTCCTTGCAGAAAATAGTAACCCTTGTTTTATCTTATCCCTCAGGAGTACGATCCCACAGATCAGACTGTTACCTAAGTGGCAAATCATGAGTTTATTTCAAATCAACCAATGATCTCTTTTTTTTCTTATATTTTAGTTTTCTCTGTTTTACATAGGCATACTTCCATTTCAAACATACCTCTCATTACATAAAACTGATAGCTAATTCATTTGTTAACCAAAACTTGGGAGAAAGTCTAAAATGAAAGAACATGTTTCAGATTATGGAAAAGGGAAAAATACACAGGTAAAACAAATATAATAATTTAACCAAACAATATACAATTAGAGTGGCAATCCCGAAGTACCACAACTATTGAAAGGAAAATTCAAAGGTAAATTCGTATAGAACACACATTCTAGTTTTATGTATATGACTTGTGTTCTGAATTTGTCGGTCCAAAGTTTAAGTAACTCTTTGAATAGGGGTCTTCTGAACATAGAATAGTGACACAGTGTCTCTGAATTATCTTCCTGTTAGAGTGTTTATGTAAAAATCATTGAAGGACAAAATTATTTCCCTGGATAGGAAAGGACATGATTTCCACTGAGATCTGTGGCTGGTAGTCTGCATTAATGAGCCAATTGTACATTTCTGTGCCAGTGATCACAGTTTCTTTCACCTATAAGGCAATATACGTCCTATGTCTTTGATTCTAAGCTCCAGCTTGTAATGTTCTTTGATGAAAAGGATATTAACAAGTGTGATTTATTTACATAACCTTGATAAAAGATGGATTCTCACTCTCATTTTCTCTTTGCCATCATTAATATCACAGAAATTATGAGAACATGTTCTAGGATGAAACGTAGATGGCCCAGAGAATCATTATTTTAGTTGACCATCTAGTAGAACTGTAGCACTGTCCTCCTGTTGTTCATCGATTTGCTCGAGCGGGCACCAGTAACATCTCCATTGTGAGCCTTGTTACTATTTTTGGCATATTGAACATGCCACGGTTAGCTTGCCTGGCTCTGCTTGCCAGGCTCTCCGAGTGGGACAGAGGAATCCAACCTGGGTCGGCCACGTGCAAGGCAAATGCCCTACCCACTGTGCTATAGCTCCAGC